TTCTTTACGGGCTCAACACATCAGCTACTACATTAGCCTTACCTGGATGATACAAGATCTCACAATCATAATCATTCACCAGTTCCAACCATCGTACCGAAATGACGGATTGTCACACAGAACCACCCCCTCTGGTCCTTAATCAACCATAATTTCTGGTCTTACCAACCAGCACTTCTGGTCCTTCTGATCAAGTTTTCCACTACATTCTAAGTCCAAAATTCTGATTTGGACCCTGCAAGGGGCGTCTTGACCTCACCATTTYGTCGTGTCCGGGGTCATACTCGTCTTATAACAAGTGTGCACTCCGCTCCTCCTGACTTTGTATTAGAACATAATATAAAACCYTATTAGAACTCGTTGTTACTTCCAATTTCACTTAAATGGCTTGGTGACACTAAAATCACCAACAAAGTTTTGGAGTATAACTATGGATATGTTGCATTGTAGCGCATTCTACACGTATATCTGAATCCTCCACATGCCATTCACACTTGATGGAACATGAATGAATGATGCATAAATTTATATTCATACATGTGCTATGGATTTTATTTTTKCCTTAAGTGTTGCATCTCAATGTAGATAAAGTTTTGTGACATTTTTACTGGTATAAATATTATTAGTTAAAGATTAAAAATAAAGTTGGATAGTCTGATATTTTCAGTGCTATTTATTTTAAAGTTAATGAGCACAAATCAGTCCCAGCTTACTAACAATGGTTATAGAAGGTCAGAGTTGCATCATGGGATGCTGTTATAGCCACTACTARTTGTTCTTGACTACTTGGCTAAATAACTAAATGAGGATCATTCATGAGGTTTGTCCATTAGGTTTAGGAAGATCATGTGTGTACAAGATATGCTATTTGTTGTACCACACTCAACATAAGTAGTAGTGTACAAAATATTATTCTATCGTCCACCAGCCCARTGTCTTATGTTTTTATTATGGAAATGGCCTTGTTTTGATAATTGCCCCTCAAACYCAGTATCAATTAGTTTTTTCAGCAACCAAGTAGAATGACGCTTATTTAAATAGCTGCGATGCAAGCAACACCCCAATTTTTCTTGTGGTGGCAATAACTCAAACCAAATAACAGATAGTTGACTCACTTATTGCTGCAACMAAGCTAATTTCATTCAACATTTAATATGCAACAAATGCAGACAAGTTAACTAGTGATCTACAATTGAAGTTGGGTTAAACTCCATGAACGATATAACAACAACATTAACTTGAATGTACATATAAATGTTGTGTCCATCGAATTTGTTAAAATCATGAASATCTCTAGCTTACCAGCAAAAATGGTCATGGCTTGCAAAATCTCTCCCCCCCCCCCACAAACCTATTTTTTTAACTTTCATCT